CTCCAGTTGTTTATTTATTTAAGGGAGTACATTAAACGGAGGCATAAGGTTTCAGTGGGTGAAATCTTGCTTCATGGTGTCTTGGGATCAACAGGTTGATTAGCATCTTGGCAAGCCACACCCATCTCTGAGAGGCTGTGTTGCTTTGTGGCTCCAGCAGGTCACCTCATCTCCTGTGCTATGTGGAACCTGGCAGAACTAGGTAGAATGTTACATGTATTTGGGCAGTTTCACCAGCAGGAGTACCTCCACGAGTTCCCAGATACCAGACTTTCCTACCCAAAGTCTTCCATGCCGATTTGGTTCATGTATAGTACACGGATGGCTTCTGACAACCTTTAGGTTAGGCCCTAATCCAATTCCACTGGTGTTCTTATAAGAAAAGTAAGATATGCAGAGAGAAACCAAAGATGAGCACACAAAAGACAATACATGTGAAGACACAGCAAGAAAGTAGCTATTTGCATGTCAAGGGGAGAGGGTTTGGAAGAAACTGAACCTGCCAGTGCCTTGATCTTGTGTTTCCAGGCTCTAGAACCATGAGGAAATAAATTTCTGTTCTTTAAACCACACAATCTATAATATTTTGCTATGGTAGTTCTACCAGACTACAGGTCTGGTAGAATTTTACTTTAAGTAAAATGTATCCTTTTTCCAGGACTCCCACAACCATTTCAAATATTCTACATTTATGAAAGATTACTTTATCTTATTGATGACTTAAAATTTCACCTAAATCCATTTTTTTTATACCTAAGGGATGTGATGTGGTATCTCACCAGGATTTTAATTTCTATTTCCCTAAATATTAGTGATGTCAAACATTTGTTCATGTGGTTTTTAGCCATGTGTATATTTTCCTTGAAGGAATTCTTGTTCAAACCTTTTGCCCAGTTTTTAATTGGGTTCCTGATTTTTCAGGAAATGAAATGAAAGTGGCAGAATTTGTGGGGGTTCAAGCAGTAGGTCTCTGGGTCTAGGGTAGTAGACCAGTTGGCACTCTGATGGCAGAGTGGGAGAGGAGGACATAAGATGAATTTAAGTTTTTCTACACCACACACATTATCATCACTGATGATGATGAGTTATAGGATTTCTTTATATTTTGTATGACTACCCCTTATCAGATATGATTTGAAATATTTTCTCCCATTCTGTGGGTTGCCTTTTTATTATATGGATTGTGTCCCTGTGATAAAATTTTTTAATTTTGATGTAGTCCAATCTATCAATTTTTTCTTTTGTTGACTATGCTTTTGGTGTCATATCCAAGAAATAATTGCCAAATCAATGTTATGAATTTTTTCCTCTGTTTTCTTCTAAGAGTTTTATAGTTCCCATTATGTTTTGGTATCTAATTCATTTTGAGTTAATATATGGGATAATGTACCAGTCCAATTATTTTGCATGTGGATATCCAGCTTTACAAAGCTGAGTATGGAAAATTAATCCTTTGGTCTAAATTGAGTCTGTAATTCCCTAAAGATCAGTTTCCAGACTCCCCACATGGGCCCTGCTATGTATGATAAAGCAGGGTTACAAGCTGCAGGCTGTAAGTATGACTTTGGGAAAGTACAGTTTCAATACAGAAAAGAGCCTGTGCTAGGATACTTCAAGTAAAATGTGTCCTTTTTCCAGGACTCCCATAGCCATCTCAAATATTCTACATCATATGAAGGGTTACTTTATCTTATTCATAACTTAAAATTTCACCTAAATCCATTATTTTTTATACCAGGGATTGAACCCAGGGGTGCTTAACCACTGAGCCACATCTCCAGCCCTTTTCCTTTCTTTTCTTTTTAAAAATTTTTTGAGACAGGGTCTCCCTAAGTTGCTTAGGGCCTCTCTGAGTTGTTGAGGCTGAATTTGAAACTGCAATCCTGCTGCCTCAGCCTCCCAAACCACTGGGATTACAGGCTAACACACCCGGCCTCACTCCACCTCTTGTTCTAGCACTTCCTCACAGGTTTTGACTGGTTCTATTCAGTGAGGTCTTTTGTGACTTCTCAGGCACTCACATGAGAAGCTCGCTCACAACATGGAAGCCCAAGGTTAAGTATAGAAAACCAAGCCACACCTGTGGGCCTATCCTAATAGGATGTGGGAGCTGACAGAAAAACGCATCTTTCCTTCGTCCTTTAGTTGGAGTTCTCAGATGCATTATGTAAGGCTTCACAGATGGTCCAGGCAGAATAAAATACCAGTCACTTGGAGCATATAATATATGCTCTTATTTTTATCTCCACCATCCCCCTTTCTGCCATGCTTCTCCATGGAGTCCCATCACAAATGAGTTACAACCTCACAAACCGTTGTCTCAGGTTATAATTCCAGGGGAACCTAAGCTAAAACAGACATTGTGGAGTTACAGAGTACCTTACTCCTGATAAAATATCTACCCATCCAATTTGATGTCTTTCTGACCTGTTTCCTTGGCTGAGAAGGGATGAAAGAAAAAAGATAATGGAGAATCTGGAGGTAATTTTCTGTAAGTAGTAATTGAATTCCTCTACATCTCCTTGTTTTATTACTGTAGGAAATGGATACATCTCAAAATCTTACCACCAACTACTTCCAAGTGGCTGGAATGGAGAAAAAAAAATGGACAATAATGTCATCAGGGACACATTTCTTAATATGCCATTTGTTAAATATGGGAGTTTTCTACCTCAGGCTCTAGGAAACTGATACATAAAGAGCCTTCTTGTTGAAGCAGAATGGAAGGCAGTTTCCTGGTAAGTTAAACAGATATACTGAGTAACACATAGTTTTGCTTACTGGTAGGAATAGAAGGAAAATAAGAACATGGGCCAATGGGGAGAAACACTGAGCTAGAAGTCAGGAAATTGTTTTGATCAGCTCTGTTACCAAGACAAGTAACAAGTGCCAGCTCCACTCAGCAAGCAGGCGCCTTTCTTTTGGTTTCAGCTGAGGTTCCAGGAGCTACAGCTGGGTAGGGCCAGAGAGCATGAAACTATAAGGAAGGGTCTTATATAAAATTGAGCCCTGGAAACAGAAATAGTCTGAAGGCTGCTGTGCAGAGAGGCAAAGAGAGAGTTGCCACCAGGTGACCATGGGAAGGGATCAGGGGAAGAGAAACAGAGTCCCAAGGCAAAACCAGAGCAAATCTCTTAACAAGCCCATATACATAGCAGGTATGTTTTATGTTGTTCCACTGCCACAATGCTGGATAGGAGATTAACTCTTAAGGACACCAAGTCAGTTCAAATATCCTCCATGTCTTATTACTCAAAGTGAAATTCATGAACTAATGCATTGGCTAACTAATGCAGAATCTCAGCTCCATTTCAGATCTACTGAATCTACTGCCTTTTTTGTTTGTTTCTTTGTTTGTTTGGTTTTGGCACTGGAGACTGAACCCAGGGGTGCTTTGCCACTTAACTACACCCCTATCCCTTTTTAACTTCTATTTTAAGATAGAGTCATGCTAAGTTGCTTAGGACCTCACCAATTTGTGGAGGCTGGGCTCAAACTTGCCATTCTCCTGCCTCAGTCTCCCAAGTTGCTGAGATTTTAGGTGTACACCACCATGCATGATTTGGCCTGCATTTTTAACAAGGTCACTGGTTGATTCTCATGCCCCTTAAAGTTCGAGAAGTATTGTCAGTGAATCAATTGTGTTTGCATGTTTCCGGGTTGTCTATGAGTACCTTGTTAAGGATTTCCAACAGGGAGGAAGAGGCATAATTCCAACAGGCATCTTAGGAATAAGCCTGGACACTTGGGTTGTCATGGTGAGTCATACTGATATTTAGTGGCCAGGTGCCAGGGATGCTTAAACATCCTGCAAATTATGGGACAGTTCTACAGAGTAAAAAAAATTGTCCTCTCCAAATGAGAGTACTTTTCCTGGTAAGAAACATGTTGGCAATTTCTTTATCTGTAAAATAAGCATTTGGGTTTATTTGGATTTCAATGTTTCTCCCTTCTCTAAGACTCTTTTGTTCTACCACTGTTTTCACATTGATTTAGAAAATTCTCATTGCTCCCTCTAATTATGGCCTCTATGTTCCTAAGTCATTTTTATTTAGACAATCCAATGGAACTAGTCATAGGGATTAACCATAAATTCATATCATTCCCTCATAAATATAACTTGCCCATTTAGGTTAAGACTCAGAGAACTCTTTTAGTCAATTATGATGCTGAAAAAACAAATGCTTATAATCAGCAAAGATTTTTGCTAGGTAGCAATTTAAAGACCTTCCTTGTCTGGTCAGATTTTAGCTGAAGTGACTGTCTCCCCACCTCACCCCTAGCTGAAGATTTTGCTGGGTTGGCATGGGAAAAGGGACATTGAGGAGATGCCCTTCTCTAGAAACTTTTTCCATTGTCTCTAAAGAAAGAACAACTGGGGCTGAGATACAGCACTCGCCTAGCACAGGCGGGACCCGGGTTTGATCCTCAGCACCATATAAAAATAAAGGCACTGTGTTGTGTCCATCTACACCTAAAAATAAATATTTAAAAGAAAGAAAGAAAGAAAGAAAGAGAGAGAGAGAGAAAGAAAGAAAGAAAGAAAGAAAGAAAGAAAGAAAGAAAGAAAGAAAGAAAGAAAGAAAGAAAGAAAGAAAGAAGAAAGAAGAAAGAAAGAAAGAAAGAACAACTGATGGCAGACACATGGAGGGTCATAAACAGGGTCTGGTGAACCTGATGGTATTGAGAACCCAAAGGACAATGAGAGAATCTGAGTAAAGAGTTGGGCTCCTGACATTGTGGTATCTCTATTTAAAAATGAAAATATTTGTGTTGTCAGGACAAGGAAAACATCTATTGAAAATGTGAATCTTTGAATGAAAGATAATGTCCATCTATAGAACAGGATTTTCCACTGTGACACACACACCAGCTACAAAAGTTAAAAAATGAAGTCACAGAAAAAGTCCCTCCAATTACCACAGTAGAAAGCAATATCCTTTTTAAGACAGTTCAAAATAATAAAAACTTGCCTCAATGTTTTATTTTAATATAAAATGTATATATGTATATGATTTGTTTGCCCTTATTAAAAGCTGTTTTTTGGAATCTGCTGATTTCAGGACTTCCTTAACCACTTTTTTTGTATTAATGATATGTAGAAGGCATTTGCTGTAACATCCACTTTCAGTTTCATTAAAGTAGAAGTAGAACAAGAATTTAAGATAGGAGATCATGGTGCAGAGTTCTAATTTTTTAAAATTCTACTAACTGTTGCCAAAGGATTCAATTGTTTTCATAGAAACAATAACCTTTTTACTTTTGACATTCATATTTATGTTTGCATTAAATTAATTTAAATTACATAATTACAATAACAAGTTGGACTGGCATGAACAAGTTTAGTAATCAGCACATTAACTCTTAAGTTTGCCATTCAGCATGTAGGGACAGTAGGGCAGGGTTCATATATGAACAGTCTTCTGGCCATGAGTATTTGTCAAGTCATGAGTTTGTGTGCCTTTTACAAGGACAGTGGAGAGCACCTGTTAACCTGCAAAATCACTGATGTGGAGGTATCTAAATATCTGTCTATTATGGACTGAATGATATGCTCCCTCAAAATTCACATGTTATTAGAAGTGTACTTTCTCAATTTTGAAGGTGCAAGATTTTGTGATGCAGATTTCCCAGGAGAATCAGTGTTCTGATAGACTATTTCAAACAATATGCATGTACAGAAGATTAAGTTTTGTCAGACAAATTTGCAATTGGAAAATATACTTTTCAAACAATCATCTTACTAGAAATTTAGTACTTACTATGTGCCAAGAAGTGTGCTTATCTGAGGACATCAGAATAATCTGTCCTCATTTTGAGGAGAATCCTTCATTTCTTTTTGTTTTTTTTTTTCATACTGAGGATTAAACCCAGGAGTACTTTACCACTGAGTTATATTCCCACCCCTTTTTATTTTTAATTTTGAGATGGGGCCTCACTAAGTTCCTAAAGGTCTCCCTAAATTGCTGAGGCTGGCTGTGAACTTGCAATTGTCCTCCATTAGCTTCCAGAGTAGCTGAATTATGTGTGCACCACTGTGCTTGGTAGAATCCTTCATTTCTAAGACATATTTTCTCTTTAAAAAGTTTTCACTTTTAAAGTACCTGTAAAATAATGATGAAATTTTTCCAGGTATGATGGTGTGCACCTCTTTTGGGCAGAAGGCCAATGCAGGGGGATCTCAAGTTCAAGGCCAGGCTGGGAAATTTAGAGAGACCCCCATCTCAAAATAAAAAATAAAAAGGGCCATGAATGTAGCTCAGGGATAGAGTGCCCCATTGCTCAGTCCTTAGTATGACTAAATAAATAAATACATAAATATGTTGGTGAGTTTGAAATGTGAATGTAATGAATGGAGTATGAATGTATTTTGAAAATTTGAAGTATTCTAGCATGTTGAATAGTTGTTAATCTTTTTAGAATGAATAAATCTTTTTAGAATGAATACTTATATATACAGATATTCAAAACTATCAGATTATATCTTCCTATTTGGATATGGGAAATGTACAAGGATATTATTTTCTAGTTGTACCCAAATAAATGTATGATTGCAATTGTAGTTAAGCCATCACCATTATTTATCATTATTTAATCTCATAGTACTTTTTGAATATATAGGTTAACATTTGATTTTATATAGATTATACTGTATCTTCTATGTCTCTTGAAAAAATAAGTAAAATAAGTATTTTAAGTAAAAAGTTATATCCAAGGAAATTGGATTCCATTATAGGAATTGGAAACCCATTTATAGTGAATACTATTTCCTTCAATGGTTGTGTTTAATTTTGAAATCCATTATCTTTGAGTCTTTAATACTTTGTTCATTTTCTTATATAACAAATACTATTGAGTGATATATGGGAATGCTATCTATCATCAACCAACCAATTTTAGCCTTACAACTAAAATGAAATCTTCAAAAAACTCATACATTGAAGTGCTAACATCCAGTGTAGCTATAATTGGAGTAAAGAAGTAATTAAAATTAAATGAAATTGTAAGGGTGGGGTCCTGAGCCTGCTGGATTAGTGTTCTTATAAGAAAAATCCAGAAGAGCTGGCTCTGTCATACCAGGATAGAACACAGCTATAAGGCAATAGTCTGCAAGTCAGGAAGAGAGCTTTCTCCAGAAACCTACCCTGCTGGACCTGATCAGAGGTTTCTAGTCTCCAGAACATAGTTCTGCTATTTAAACCATCTGGTCTAAGGAATTTTTCTATGGCAGCCCAAATAGACTAATGCACTATCCTTTTATCCCTAGTATTTAATACTATTCCTTTGTATAATATCTTGGGTTCTGAGGAACAATTAATAGCAAAAGACAGTTGGGAAATACAAAATTATTCAATGTGTGGAAAACTGACTTAAAAGTATAGAACATAAGTTAATAGATCCTGATAAGTACCACATTTTAATTTTAATTCATGCAAATATTGAAATGTTTTAGACATCTAATTCTAGTAACTAGTTACTATATACTCGGCTCCTGAGTCTATGACTAAAAAATAATCTTTGATAGTCTACCATAGGCTAGACAGCTTTCCTTTTGTAACATCTGTAAACAAGAGTCTCATGGTATTACTATAACTATGCTTTAAAATGAGGAAACACAAATAAGGAGCAAGACAAAAATATGACTATTATTTTTCTTTCTACTGGAAGTTTCACTCAGTATAAGACCTGAGAAAAATAGAGATGTTAAGAATTAGAAAATCTTACAATTGTCATCATTTTTAATTTCTGTTTTTCTACATTAAAATATCCAGGGGAATCAACAGATAATGGTTGTGCAAACCAACTGTATTCTTTTTTTAAAATATTTTTTAGTGTTGACGGACCTTCATTTTATTCATTTATTTATATGTGGTGCTGAGAATTGAACCCAGTGCCTCACATGTGTGAGGCAAGCACTCCACACCACTGAGCCACAACCCCAGCCCCCCAACTGTATTCTTAAAAACCAGCAACAAATAGTCCAAAAGTATAACTTTTGAAGATATCATTAATGTATAATAGCAGTAAAGCATACCACTAGAATAAATATTTTAGAATGGTGAAATATTTTTATAAAGAAAAATATGAAACTTTAAAAAAGACAATAAGGAAACTAATGTTGATGAATGGCAAGTCTCAGTAACAAAGATATGAGTTTTCCTGAAATCCAAAAATCCAACAGGCATTTTTGATGAAAGTTAATGAATCTACCCTAAGTCCATATGAATGAGCAAATAGCCAGCAATTGCCAAAATAATTCTGAAGACCAACAAGAGACTCATTCTCTTAGGTATCTTGTATCTTGTATCCTGAAACTATAGTGATTAGAACAATGTGATTTAAAACAGCATGACTCCACAGGGATAGACAAATAAATTGATGGAAGGCTTAGAATGGGGTTCACCTATATATGGAAACTTGTGATGCAATAGAGGAGGCATAAAAAATCACTGGGGATGGGATTCTGGAATAGCTGACTGTCTACACTGAGAAAAAAATATTTTAATCTCTATTTCATATCATTCCCCTCAAACAAATTTGAGGGAAATAAAATTTAACTTTTTATGTACACTAAAAGATATTATAATGAAATGAAGACATTCTAAACTGAAGGAATTTAATTATAATGTATATAATTGATAAAGGATTATTACTTAGGAGATCTAAAAGTAGTCCTCCAAGTCATTAAAAAATATTCTAATAGAAAAAAAAGATCAAAAGACAGGATAGAAGTTCATTGTGGAAGAAGAAACTTGAATGAGTAATAAAAATAGGAAAAGATTGGTAATTGTGTTAGCTTTTCATCGTTGTGATCAGAATGCCAGGAACAAGCTATAGTCCCCAAGGGTATGCTTCCAGAAATCCACCTCCTCCAGCCATACCCCACCAACCTGAAGTTATCACTCAGTAGTCCTGTGAGGAGCCAATCAGCTAGATGTTGCTGGGGCCGCTGTGAGCCAATCATCAGCAAACTTCCAGCTGCCACCTGTCTCTGAAATTTGCTGTATTGTGGACCAAGCTTTCAATACATAAGCTTTTGGGAATATTACAGATCCAAACCTTAACAGTAATTAAGAAATACAAATTGAAAATGAAATTCCATATCACACCCATTGGATTGGCAAAAATTAAAAAGTCTGACCATTCCAAGTATTGAAAGGATGTGAAGAAACAGGACTATCAGACACAGCTAGAAAGAGCATTATCCATGAAAGCCACTTTGGAAAGCAATTTATTTATTTTTTTTTATTGGTTGTTCAAAACATTACAAGGCTCTTGACATATCATATTTCAAACATTAGTTTCAAGTGAGTTATGAACTCCCATTTTTACCCCAAATACAGATTGCAGAATCACATCGGTTACACATACACATTTTTACATAATGCCATACTAGTAACTGCTGTATTCTGCTATCTTTCCTATCCTCTACTATCCCCCCTCCCCCCCCATCTTCTCTTTTTATCCCGTCTACTGTAATTCGTTTCTCTCCTTGTTTCCCCCCCACCTTGGAAAGCAATTTAAAGGTGAAGGTGAAACTATTCATACTCTGTGGCCTAGCGATTCTATTCCTAAAATTATACTCTGAGAAATTCTCCCATATGTACTTGGAGTCATGTACAAGAATGTTCTCTGTAGAATTGTTTGGGATAATAAAGAACTAGAAATAACCTAAATGTTCAAAAAGAAGAACTGATAAATAGTAATGTAATCAAATCACAGAATAGAATACTATAAATACACTAAAAATGACCTAACTAGTATTGTATGAAAGGAGAGAAGGTTAGCATTCCCCTTGAAAAGAATGGAAGAGGTCCTCGTCCTGACAAGCATATGATCAAGCCATTGCCACCTATTTTGTGGAATCTAACCATCATTTTTCTAGGAATTAGAACAGAGATCTTGCACCTAATAGAGGAAAAAGTAGGTCCAAATCCTTATCCTATCAGATTAACTGACTTCCTTAACAAGACTCACAAAATTCAAGAAATAAAAAAGAATTAATAAATGTGATGGACTCAAACTAAAAAGCTTCTTCTCAGCAAAAGAAACAATGAGGTGAAGAGTGAGCCTACATTTTCAGAGCAAATTTTTGCCACATGCAAGTCAGATAGAGCACTAATCTCCAGGATGTCTCAAGAACTCAAAAAAAAAAAATTAACTCAAAAAAAAAAAATTAACTCAAAAAAAAAAAAAAAAAAAAAATTAACTCAAAAAAAAAAAAACCCAATCAATAAATGGGCTAAGGAGCTGAACAGTCAGAAGAAGATATACATCCAATCAATAAATATATGAAAAAATGTTCAACATCTCTAGCAATTAGAGAAATGCAAATCAAAACTACTCTAAGATTCCATCTCACTCCAATCAGAATGGCAGCTATTAAAAATACAAACAACAATAAGAGTTGGCGAGGATGTGGGGGAAAAGGCACACTCATACATTGCTGGTGGGACTGAAAATTAATGCAGCCAATATGGAAAGCAGTATGGAGATTCCTTGGAAATCTGGGAATGGAACCACTTTTTGACCCAGCTGTCCCACTCCTCAGTCTACAACCAAAGGACTTAAAACTAGCATACTACAGGGACATAACCACATCAATGTTTATAGCAGCACAATTCACAATAGCTAAACTGTGGAGCCAACCTAATGCCATTTAGTAGATGAATGAATAAAGAAAATTACACACACACATACACACACACAATGGAATATTATTCAGCATTAAAAAAAGAATGAAATCATGGCATTTACAGGTAAATGGATGGAGTTGGAAAGTATCATGCTAAGCAAAGTAAGTCAATCCCAAAAAACCAAAGGCCAAATGTTCTCTCTGATAAGTGGATGCTGCTCCATAATGGGGGGTACATGGGAAAAATTGAGGAACTTTGATGGGGCAAAGGGGAAGGAGCAGTGAGGAGAGGGTTATGGGGGCAGGAAAGATGATGAAATGAGATGGACATCATCTAGGTACATGTATGACCGCACATAAGGTGCGATGCTACATTGTGTACAACCAGAGAAATGAAAAGTTGTGCTGCAGTTGTGTACAATGAATCAAAATGCATTCTGCTGTCATATGTACCTAATTAAAATTAATTAATAAAAACAAATAAATTTTAAAAAATAACCTAGCTAGAGGTATATGTTCCAACATGATTGTATAAAGAGACTAACTTCATTTTTCATGTTTGAGCATTGACAACTGTTGTCCATCTAGATAAGAAGGTCAGTGCATTCCACTCATCCTTTGGCACACATTAGGAGTCCAAACCTTACAAACCCCCAGCCAGTGCAAAAGAACTCTTCCCTGGCTCCACCCCAAGCCATTCTCTTGGCTTTGCTCTTGCTTCACTCCTATCTGAACCCAACCCTTTCTCTTTGGGGAAGCTTTCTGCCCTTTACTGTGTGAGCAATAAACTTTATTTAATAACCATTGATGCCTATGTTTCATTCCTCCCAACATCCTTGTAAATTCCTGGGTGGGGGACAGCCAAACATTCAGCCAGAGATACTAGATACAAAATGTGATTCTAAAAAAGACAAAACCACTGAGAGAAAGAGAGAACAGCTTACAGATGGTTGTAGAGACTATGAATGTTGTTTACATAAAGTTTAAAAATTACACAAAACAATATTGTAAAATGTATTATTTATGTATACACATATGTTAAAGAAAATCATGTGTGGAATGGGAAATATCAAATTCAAGACCAAGTACCCCTAGTGAAGAAGCAGCTAGAATAGGATTGGGACAGAGTACACAGGGATTTCATATGTGTCTGGAGAACTTAGATAATGAGGTACAAGGTCATTTGTTATCATATTTTCTAGACTTTTCCTTGCACCTGAGATACTTCATAACTTTTGAAAGAAAAAGAAAAGGAGGTGCAATTTAGAATTCTGACTGAACCTCCTGTGAGAGCAATACTTGAAAAATGTACCAATAATACATTCCTGGTGAAAATGAGAGGTTTGTTTTTCCCTGATAAGAGTGGCTTTTAAATTGTAAGCAGCAGACTTGTGCTAAATATGGAAGAAGTGAAGATATAGGAGAAATGGGCCATGTATTAGTTTTCTTTGGCTGCATAACAAATTACCACAAGGTCAGCAGTTTAAAATAACACCCATTAATTGGTACACAGTTTTGTGAGTCAGAAGTCCAGGCAAGAGTCTGGGGATATAGCTCAGTGGTAAAGCCCTTGCCTAGCATGCTAAAGGCCTTGAATTCAATCCCTAGTACCAAAAGCAAAACAAAATAAGTCCCAGCACAGCATTATTGGGTTCTCTGCTTAGTGTTAAAGGTTGAAATCAACTTATGAGCCACATTGTATTCTCATGTGGAGGCTGCAAAGAAGAATCTTTTTCCAAGTACATGTTGACAAATGTAAGATTTTATCTATTGTTGAATCCCTCTCATGTTTAGAATCTCTGATGTCTTCTTTCACTTATCTCTAGAACCAACTTTAAAGGACTTATATGAATATGTCAGGTCCAGTCATACAATCTGTCTATCTTAGAATCAAGTGATATGGACCTTAAACACATGTGCAAAATTCCTTTACGGCAATACCTAGACTTGTGTTTGATTGAATTATTGAAAGAAAGTGAATGTATACCAGCCTACATAAATTGGAGGGGGGCAGGCAATGTCAAATTCAGCCCATCATAGACTAAGACAAGGGAGAATATACAATAGAAGGTCAATGCCAGGGGAATTATAAAGTAGTGTTCATATATGTGCTAGATGTTTAAATATTGGATAGTAGGGGATAGGAAAGGTAGCAGAATACAACAGTTACTAATAGGGCGTTATGTAAAATTGTGGATGTGTGACTGACGTGATTCTGCAATATACATTTGGGGTAAAATTGGGAGTTCATAACCCACTTCAATCTAATGTATGAAATATGGTATGTCAAGAGCCCTGTAATGTTGTGAACAACCAATAAAAAAAATAAAATAAATTAAAAAAATAAAAAATAAAAATAAATAAATAAATATTGGATAGTATGCCTAGCTCATGAAGTTCTGTATGCTTAAAAATTAAGGGAAGAGAATAAAGATCATGGAACTCTCTATGACTGTGACAGACTAAAGTTTAACAAGGAATGGTGTTGGTCCTGCCAAAAGTAGCCACAGGCAGATCAGTAGAAAACTATTTTGCTGTTGGAACTAGTTTTGTAACCAATGTTGTAAATGATAGGTAAATGTAAATAAAACATCAGTGTAAAGTTGAATATAAACACAAGTAAATACATATAAATAAGTACTTTATAAAACTGAATATGGCAGAGATGAGTTAAATTTGTGGAAAGTGTATTTCATGTCCTGTATGCACACAGACCATGAGTCATTCTTCAATACATCTCTACAGCAGCCAGCCCTGTTTCAGAACATGTAAGGGGATTGATAAGTAGTTGTTAATTGTTTAATGAGTAACAGTGCTGGATTAGCCTTTAAAATTCACCTTGGTGTAGTCCATCTTATTTTTCAAAATTATTTTTCACTACTTTCCTACTTATACTTTATACAGCAAACAACAAACAAACAAACATAAAGGCTCCCTTTCTCTCCAAACCCATTACCTCACTTTTGGCCCTGTGTATCCTCCATGGCAGCAGCTACTATCAAATTTTTATCCATCCTTTAGGGCCCAACTTAAATTTCCCCTCCTTCACGAAGCATTCTTTGATTCATCCCAGCTTTGGTGGAAACAGTCTTTGCCACCTGAACTCCCAGAGCATCTTGTTTAAACTTACAGTGCATGTCACTGTCTACCTTCTACTATGGTTATTTGCATTTATATTGTTGCTCTTCCTACTTGCCTGGGTCTTCCTTGAATAGTAACTTAATAAATGTATATTGACTATTTGTTGATAGGGTTGTTTGTTATCTTATTGTTTAATTTTTTGGGTTCTTTGTATATTCTGGATATTAGGGCTCTATCTGAAGTGTGAGGAGTAAAAATTTGTTCCCAGGATGTAGGTTCCCTGTTTACCTCTTTTATTGTTTCTCTTGCTGAGAAAAAACTTTTTAGTTTAAGTAAGTCCCATTTGTTTATTCTTGTATATAACTCTTGGGCTATGGGTGTCCTATTAAGGAATTTGGAGCCCAACCCCACAATATGTAGATCGGAGCCAACTTTTTCTTCTATCAGGTGCAGAGTCTCTGATTTGATATCTAGCTCCTTGATCCATTTTGAATTAACTTTTGTGCATGGCGAGAGAAAGGGGTTCAGCTTCATTTTGTTGCATATGGATTTCCAGTTTTCCCAGAACCATTTGTTGAAGATGCTATCCTTTCTCCATTGCATGCTTTTAGCCCCTTTATCAAATATAAGAAAGTTGTAATTTTGTGGATTGGTCTCTGTGTCCTCTATTCTGTACCATTGGTCCACCTGCCTGTTTTGGTACCAGTACCATGCTGGTTTTGTTACTATTGCTCTGAAATATAGTTTGAAATCTGGTATTGCTATACAGCCTGATTCACACTTCCTGCTTATGGCCAAGGACTTGAACAGAGACTTCTCAGAGGAGGACATACAATCAATCAATAAGTATATGAAAAAATGCTTACCATCTCTAGCAGTCAGAGAAATGCAAATCAAAACCACCCTAAGATACCATCTCACTCCAGTAAGATTGGCAGCCATTATGAAGTCAAGTAACAATAAGTGCTGGCGAGGATGTGGGGAAAAGGGTACACTTGTACATTGCTGGTGGGACTGCAAATTGGTGCAGCCAGTATGGAAAGCAGTATGGAGATTCCTAGGAAAGCTGGGAATGGAACCACCATTTGACCCAGCTATCGCCCTTCTCAGTCTATTCCCTGAGGACCTTAAAAGAGCATACTATAGGGATACTGCCACATCAATGA